CTGAGTTTTCCCTATTGCGAACCATAATTTGTTCCACTATGGCTTCTAAGTTGGGTTCACCAGCCATGGCTTCGTGTCGAGCTTGTCTGACCATATAGTCTGGGTCCTGGTTTCTATGAACTAAAATAAGGGGAGGCCTTTGGGCCACCCTGGGTGTGTGCTCAACCTCGTGGGGATGCTGGTTAATTGTCTCGTCAAAGACTTCGTCTTGTCGAATTGGCGTCTCCGGTCGAAGTAGAGGTGTTTGTCGACCCAAGGCCCTAGGAGCACCTAAAAAATCACCTATTCGCGTCATCTAAGTTGCCAATTGTTGGTAACTCTGAGTTAAATTGTGTATTAGTGGCCTTAATATGGTGCCCATTTGCTGGGTCAACATGTGGACCATTTCGTGGTTACTTTCGTCCATCTGCTGCCTCATAACGGCGACAGAACTTGACGTAAAAGTGGGAAAAAAAAGTGACAAAACACTAAACCCTGAGGGCCTTGCGACTTGGCACCCCCTAGTAGGGGGAAAACGTCGCCAACGAGCTTTCCCCAAAGAGTGAGCCACTGTAATGCAGGCTCGACATAAACTTTGTTGGCATCCCAAAGGCCCTGGGAGATGGCATTGTGAAACTAGGCATATATTACCCTCCAGTTCCTGTCACCATAGGCCTAGGTTCAGACCGACGTGGCGTCATGGCAGGCCCACAATGAGTCGTCGAAACCGCAGACACAGTGTCAGGATTGTTTGAGTCACAACCGCATTTTCCTCCGAAGACGGTTCTTCGTTTGGACGTGGTATCACCATCTTACCACTACGCAAATGCATAGACCCAAACCTTCGGGTCCTAGTAGTTTTCGCGCGAACAACCTCTGACCTCCTAACGCAGGTTTACTTGCGGGACCGGTCAAACGAGTCCCAGAACAATTGGTTTGAAATAGACTGGAAATTACTTCTAGCAAAGACTAAAATTTAACTAAGGATGAATACGTAAAAAAAAGAGAGACAAAAACAACAAGACAAGATACTCTAAAGATAAATATGTAAATTGCTTATTAAAAGGAAAACATGGACGCGATCATACATTTTGCAGGAGTGAAAAACTTTTTTCTCTTAACGCTTTGGTACTCAGAGTGTTTTTCTTACATTATTACGAAAACACGCCTCTAAAATGAAACTAGGCATTGCCTTAAATAGGGAAATAAAATAACTGTCATGTTGAAGTTGGTGGTGTCACGTGTTCGCCACCACCTTTGTAACCTCTAACGTTTCTAGATTTCAAATTTGTTTCCCGCTCAAATACTTTTCTCTTTGCATGGGCTTCTTTGTTCGTCAGTCGGCCCTGTCGGCCGACACCGCTTAAATCGACCCAACAACCTCCTTCTGCCAACACCGACTCTCATCATTTTCTTCACCATCTTTCCTTAGCTTGTCGATGCGCCAGCTAATCTTTGTGTCGCCTCTCTTTAATCGAAACTTCCAGTCAACACCTATCAATTTCTGTTAACGACCATGAAAAATTAAAAGTGTGAGTAAAAAATATTAAAAGAACTATTTTTTTTAAAGAAATTTTTAAAAAACTAAAAATAAAATTAAATATATTTTGAGGATAAAAAACTTATTTAACTCTTATTTAAAAAATATAAAACTTTGGGGAGAGGGATTGCGAAAAATAATTGTAAAAGGATTCCATTCCCGTTTTTCGCTACCGGAGACGAACACGGCGCAAATTCGCCGTCGGGTGCAGAGTCACGCCACTCTTCACTCCACCCATCTCTTCATTCCCCCAAAACTCCAAAACCTAAAACCTATTTTTCTCTCCATTTCCGCTTCATCCACGGTAATCACTTTCTCTTTTTTCCCATTAATCCATTCCTTCATTTAGGGTTTTGTTACTGTTTTTCTCATGCGTAATCCAATCCTTGTCATTTTCTTCATAGTTGTCTCTCTATGATTCAATTTTGTTATTGCTATTATTTTTTTCCATGTTTGTTGTCTAAGATTATGCTGTAGTTTGTGAACAAGCAATAGGTAGTTTGTGAACAAGCAATAGAAATTTTAGAATAACACTCTCTCAAGCCATGATTATTTTGTTTGGTTGCAAGTTCAGATATAGATACAGGTATAGTTCAAGTTTGATTCCAATAGCACGAAATTTAGGTATCTTAGTTTCATTTTTCCATACTAGTTCATTGTCTCCAATTGTTAAACCTATCAATTGGAACACTACTCATAGTTTTGTTAGGGGAAACCCTCTCCTTTCTCTTGTGGAGAGATGCAAGTCACTTGTCCAGTTGAAACAAATCCAGGCTCAAATGGTATTCACGGGATTGATCGATAATGGCTTTGCTGCAAGTCGTCTTGTCGCGTTCTGTGCTTTATCTGAGTCGCAGGACCTTGATTATTGCACTAAAATACTGTATCGAATCAAAGACTATAATGCGTTTTCTTGGAATGCGACAATTAGGGGTTATGTGGAGAGTGGAGACGTTGAAGGAGGTTTTATGTTGTATAGAAGAATGTTGCAAGGTGGAATGTTGAAGCCGGATAATCATACTTACCCGTTATTGCTTAAAGCTTGTTGTTGTCAGTCTTTAAATTTTGCCGGTCTTGCTATACTTGGGCATGTTTTAAAGTTTGGGTTTGAATGTGATATATTTGTTCACAATGCCTCGATTACTATGTTACTCTCGTCTGGAGAATTGAGCGTGGCTTATGATGTGTTTAATAAAAGTCACGTGAGAGACTTGGTAACTTGGAATTCCATGATTACTGGATGTGTTAAAAGGGGGTTGGTAAATGAGGCTATAAAAATCTATCGGGAAATGGAGGCAAGGAGAGTGAAACCAGACGAGATTGCAATGATTGGGATGATTTCTTCTTGTTCTCAGTTGCAGGATTTGAATCTTGGCAAAGAGTTTCATCGTTACATCGAAGAACACAATCTCGAGTTGACAATTCCACTCACTAATGCACTTATGGACATGTATGTGAAGTGTGGGGAATTGTTGGTAGCACAAAATCTATTTGATAACATGCCACAAAAGACCCTTATTTCATGGACTACAATGGTTTTGGGATATGCCAGATTCGGGTTTTTAGATGTTGCTCGGGAGATTTTGTATAAAATTCCAGAAAAGAGTGCTGTGCCGTGGAATGCCATCATCAGTGGATGTGTCCAGGCCAAGCATAGTAAAGAGGCATTGGCTTTATTCCATGAAATGCAAATTAGTATGGTAGAACCCGATAAAGTGACCATGGTTAACTGCCTGTGTGCATGCTCACAACTAGGAGCGCTTGATGTTGGAATATGGATTCACCGTTATATCGAAAGACATAATCTTTCTCTAAACGTTGCCTTAGGAACTGCACTAGTCGACATGTATGCCAAATGTGGAAATATTGCAAGGGCACTCCAGGTTTTCGAAGAGATTCCTCAAAGAAATTGTTTGACCTGGACAGCCATCATTTGTGGTTTAGCACTTCATGGGAATGCTCAGGTTGCTATATCCTATTTCTCGAAAATGATTAATATTGGAATAATGCCTGACGAGATCACCTTTCTTGGTGTGTTATCAGCTTGTTGCCATGGAGGTTTAGTTGAAGAAGGCCGCAAATACTTTTCTGAAATGAGCTCCAAATTCAATGTATCTCCTAAGCTTAAACACTACTCATGCATGGTGGACCTTTTAGGAAGGGCTGGTCATTTGGAGGAAGCAGAAAAACTCGTTCAAAACATGCCAATGCCAGCAGATGCTGCTGTGTTGGGTGCTCTATTCTTTGCTTGCCATGTTCATGGAAATGTTCAAATTGGAGAGAGGACGGCCCTTAAGCTTCTTGAGATTGATCCTCATGATAGTGGAAACTATGTTCTGCTCGCTAGTATGTACAGTGAGGCAAAAATGTGGAAGGAGGCAAGGAGCGCAAGGATAATAATGAAAGAGAGAGGAGTAGAGAAGACTCCGGGTTGCAGCTCAGTTGAGATCAATGGCATTGTGCATGAATTTATGGTGAGGGATACATCACATCCACAGTCTGAACGGATTTACGAATGTCTGGTTTCGCTGACAAAACAACTGGAGCTTTTCGATTTTACACGATTTTCCGGCTAATGGAGATAATCTTATTTCCTAAGCTTGTCAGAATGTTTGCTATGTCTCTGCTCATTTAATTTTAATTTTTTTCCTGGTCATCCTGGAGCTAGTTTTCTCATTCTATTGATGAGGTATCTGCCTTAGAAAATGTCTGAATATATCATGAAGCTCTGTCTCTCCAATCTTTCATCCTTTTAATCTTCTTTTGTCATTTTATAAATAGCTCTTTATAATTTTTCAGTACAGAAAAATGTATATTGATTATTAGTTATTATATTTGTGGCGATGGCGATGCTTAATATTTTCCTGCTTACGATTGTCAATTCTTCTACCCTACTTATGGCTAGGTTCAGACTTGCAAATATGCTGTAAAGCTTTAACACGGTCAATAATTGATGTAATATATACACTTCAATAAGTTGAAGTTTGGAATCCTATGGTAAATGACTTTATAACTTTATAACTTTGTTCAATACTATGCTAGAATAGAACATGTCGACTTAAAAAGAAGATTTGAACATACATAGATAGAACTCTCTGCTCTTGTATATTTCTGATATGAATTTTAACCGCTTTTGCATTTCAAATAGTTTATTTTTTCCAACATATATATAGTATACAAAGGCCAAAAGAAAAATTATTTAAACCATTTCGAAATTTCATATTGTTTACACTTGTTTCTCCCTGTTGATCAGCTATAGGATTTCAGTTTCAATTCATTGATTCCTATGTATTTATTTACTTAATGCTATATACTTCTTGTCTGTCATGTTAACAGATCTGCAATCTTGGGTTCGGGACATAGGAGCTGGGAGGAACCTGACATTATGAATGTTGTCTGGACATTGACCAGAGCAATCTATAATTGGAATTGATAAAAAGTAGTTATTTGGATTTCACAAACAAATTAAACAACGACAACAATGGTAAGGTGGCAAAAGTCTTTGATTGCTGCTACTTAGTCAGTCCCTTTTTTTTACCTTTGAGTGAATTGAGCCATTTAAATTATTGACATCTGTTTTTTTCTTCCAATAATAGGCTTCACACAAAACTGCCCAAATCCGCCTTGTTAGTTCACATGACGAGGTTTATGAACCATGTGATGACTCTTTTGCACTGGTTGACGCTCTTCTAGCCGATCGCACTAACCTATTGGAACATCAACCAACATTGTGTATGGAAATAGGCTGTGGAAGTGGATATGTTCTTACTTCCCTGGCTCTTATTCTTGGACAAGAAGGCAATGGCATAAATTACATAGCAACTGATATCAACCCACATGCAGTGAAGGTGACGCGCGAGACAATGGAAGCACACGGAGTTCATGCAGAACTGATAATAACCGATATTGCATCAGGACTTGAGAACCGACTAGCAGGTTTGGTTGATGTAATGGTTGTGAACCCTCCTTATGTGCCTACACCTGAAGACGAAGTCGGGTCTGAAGGGATTACCTCATCTTGGGCTGGTGGTGAGAATGGAAGGAGCGTGATTGATAGAATTTTGCCTGTTGCAGACAATCTTTTGTCAAAAAAAGGATGGTTGTATATGGTTACTCTCACAGCAAATAATCCTTCTGAGATTTGCGGTGAAATGAGAAAGAAAGGATATGCATCCAAGATTGTTGTTCAAAGATCAACAGAGGAAGAAAGTCTCCATATCATTAAGTTCTGGAAAGATTTAGATATTGAAATAGAAGAAATAAATGACCAATCTTCCTTCATGGGATCTTTGCTTGCACAAATTCCTCTACTTTCACTATGGAGAAGCAACGATACTGAGAAAAAGTGTTGAATCAGAAAGTATAATTGATTGCCAAGAATCAGAGAGTATAATTGATTGCCAATGTTTCTGGGATTTGTTTTTTTTTGTTGTCTTGGTAACTAACTTTGCTTTGCATTGCCCTGGGCTTAAAGAATGCTTATAAATTCAACCACCGTTTACCTCATTGCAGGGGTTATTCATCTTCTGACTTCATTGATCTCTTTTAGAAACCACATTTTCAATAAAACCCTTTGGGATCTGTGACTAGATTATTGAATCTAAAGTGTGTTGTAAATTTAACTATGTTGATAAATACTATTAAAATTTTTATTTGTATGATAAGAAATAATCTAATAGCAAGGACTCCGAATCGAATAATAAAATGGAAAAAGAACGAGGAAATGGAGAGAATCTTGACCACAAATACAGAGATTGAAAAAGTATTTTCTCAAAAGACAATGAAATTGAAAGGCCTATTATTTTAAAACAAATAAAGAGAAAAAAAGTTAAACATATTTTGTAGCTGTTACAAATGCAGAGTACTTTTAAAAATTGATTATGGAATTATTTTAAGGTTTTTGATTTTTCTAAAATAGAATTGATTTTGCTTTAATTTTATTTGAAGTAAAAATTTGTAGTTTTTGAATTTAAATATATATTTTTATTAATAAATTTTATTTTATATAAAGTTATCTGAACGTAAATAACTTTACTTTCAACTTACTTTTAATCAAAATTAATTTTGTAAAATTAAATCACTTAAATTTTTTCATTTCATGTTGTAAATTTTAAGTTACTGATATGATATGACAGATTCATGAATTTTTATTGGTTGATATTAATTAATTTTTTTGTACTGCAGAAACAAATCTACATTCATTTTATAATATTAAAGTTGTGTTTTATATATATATATATATATATATATATATATATATATATATATATATATATATATATATATATATATATATATATATATATATATATATATATATATATATATATATATATATATATATATATATATATATATATATATATATATATATATATATATATATATATATATATATATATATATATATATATAAACTAAAAATCAGTTTTATATTTATATTTAATAATATCTTTAAAGATGATTAAAATTAGTATGTTATTGCTAATTAATTAATTAATATATTTACTTTAGATAATTTACAATAACTCTTTTCACCCAAATTTACATTTCACTTTTTAAATTTGTTTTTATTTAGAATACGATAAAATGGAATATACACCTAAAATATAAAATAATTTTACACTGTCAACCAATCACTTTGACAATCACTTTTATGTATCTTGCCATATCAAACTATAAATTTTAAGTTAATAATATAACATGATATATTGATAAATTTTTACTAAATGACAATGTAAAGTTATTTTACACTATTAAAATATACCAATTAAACTCTAAAAAAATTACTTTTTTTAACATTAATATAGTTAAGAGATTTTTTTCCTTCAAGTTTTTCAATTAAAATATCAAATTTTACACTAACTTTTAAAATATTATGTTTAAAAAAAAACAGTCATGTGTATCACTTAGGCAAACAAATTGACGCCTACATTTAAAATAGAAGGTAAGACAATTGAATTGGCGCTACCAATATGCCTAGCCAATCTAATTGTCACCTATATATAAATTTAGAGGAGACACCAACTCATCTGCCTGTTGCAATTTTTTTTTTGTAAAATATTATATTTTAATAAGTATCATTTAGTATAAATAAAGGTATGTTTTCTATCATTTTTTTTAACACCTCTTCTTATTTTTTTTAAATCTTTTCTTCACTTGTTCTAATATGAGTAGTAATAGACATGGACATGGTTTTTTTCCGAGAACCCAACCTCCGTTGAAGATGCATTTTTGGAACATCCAATATTTCAAACAACTTGAAATGAACTTCATCATTTGGTTAAACACAGAGATTGATGACGGTGAAAGAATGAGAATAATTGAGAGATTTATTCTGTACATCTCTATTGCGGATGATAATGACTATATCAAAATGTATGTGGGTACCAGTTAAAGATATAATGATGTTAGGGATATGATGTCTGCAGCAGATGATACTGTTTTGATTGTTGTATGCTCTTAGATATATTGTAGTGTTAAGTCTTTTTATTTGTTGTTTGTGTTGACGTGTTGTTGTTTTAGGAGTGTTTATATGTTTTGTTGTAACCAAAAGTTGTTATCTATATTAAATTTTGATCTGACCTGATCAGGAGGGATCACGGACTGGCCACACTCCGCTGGACGGTTATCTGTTCGCCGGGGTAAGAAAGAGGAGGGGGTGTACCTGCAAAGCACTCCGACGCCCAAGTAAGAAGTTGGACAGAGAGGAAGCAATAGTACAGAAAAGGGGCAAGAAGAGTTACCTGACCCTCTTGAAGAAGAGGGTATTTATAGAGAGACCCCAGCGCTGGGCCAACGGTCATTCGAGGTGGGCCAGACGACCAGGCCCAACCCTAATGACTGCTAGAGCTTACGTGGCGTAGTGAAGACCAGGACGTGGTCTTCGCCCTAGTTCAACCGCTCCTAGGTCTCCGGAAAGTGGGTTTGACCTGCTCTTTCGGAGGTGGGCGGTTGGCCGATGACGTGTCCCCGCGGAGGGGAGCACGTGGAGAACGTGCACCGAGCACGTTATTCTCCCGTGGAGGGAGCCCGGGTAGTCTTGCTCGTCCGGCGTGATGGACGACAGAAGGGACGCGGAGCGGTAGCTTGTGCCCGGCGGCCAGTCCTGCCCGTTCGAAGGGGCGCGTGCCCGGCGCGCCCAGTTCGCTTGTTGGGCCGCCTTTGGTATTGGGCCTGCCGAGGTGAGGCCCATACCGGAACAGGAGCCCCCCAAGTCGAAGCTCTGGGGAAGAGCGAGGACTTAAGGTCGTCATGTCTGGAGCGGGGACTCGCACGAAGGGCTCCGGTCGTCGGTAGAACGGGGAGGAGGCAGATGAAGGGGCGCGACTGTCAGGTTGCCTCCACGTGTCTTGTGTTAAGCGGTCGTAGGGGCGGCTAACCTATGTCATTAATGAGCCTAGAGTCGCTTCGAGTCCCGCGCCGGGTTATAAATATGGCGGTCCCCGCTCATTCTGTTACTTTTCTCCCTGCTAATCTTTCATCGTCTCTGCTCGTCCGCCGCTTGCCGCCGATCGCCGCCGTGCCGTTTGCTCTTTTCTTCCGTCCGCCGCCGTTACAAGTGAGTTCCTCTTTTCCCTCTCTTTTTATTTCCGTCGTCTAACTGGAACGTGTGGTCGGGGCGGGATGAACGCCCCGAGGAGGGATGCGAGTTCCGCCGCGTCTGGCGAGTTTTTCGATGAATGACCCGGGGACGGTAGGCTAGTTCCGTTGAATGCCCCGAGGACAGGAGCTTTTTCTGATGAATGCCCCGAGGACGGGGGCTTTTCTCCGATGAATGCCCCGAGGAGAAGTACCTTCTCCGACGGCCGTCCCGAAGGGGGTGAGGGGTCGTTCTTCGATCCCCGAGGAGGGTAGACGGGGAGCGAATGTCTGCTCGTCGCTCCTCGGCCTTTGTCGCCCTTTCACTTGACTTGCGGTGGAAGGGTGGATTTGATCCTGGCTATCGAATTCACCGATGTCCTCTGCTTTCAGGTGTAGATGTCGGCTCTGGTGCCGGGGATAATGGTTGAAGATACTGAACCCGAGGTCCCGGAGTATGACGACGAGCGTATTGCCCCGTCCGAGGAGTGGGCGGCCGAGGAGCCACTTTCCATCCCCTCTTGCTTTGTGGTCGACCCGTCCGACGTGTATGCCACGGTCGAGGACACGCCGATAGGAGAAACGCAATACTGGCAGGTGTACCGCCCGAAAGAGCACCACCGGATCTGTTCTCGATATGGGCGGAAGATGTTCCTGATGTACGAATTTTATTTTAAAGAAGCTCGGCTCCGGTTACCGTTTTCCGCCTTCCATCTGGGGCTTTTTGACTGGCTGCGTCTTGCCCCGTCTCAGCTGCACCCAAACGCTTTGGCTTTTATCCGGGCTTTCGAGGTGGTGTGTTTCTACCTCTCGGTGGAGCCGACGGTGCCGTTATTTTTCCGCATCTTTCATTTGCAGCGGCAGACGGTGCGAGGTCGTCACGGATGGGTCTCTTTCAAACAATCGACCAAAATTTTCAAAGCGTATAGCGATTCTGTCAAAGACTTCAAAGGTCGGTTCTACCTCGTCAAACCGATCACGCAGCACGGCTCGGATACTCTCTTTGATGAGGGCGAGCGCACGGTAGATGGCCAGCGGTTCCGCGCGTGACTTCCTAAGATACATCTACTGTGGACCTCGGAGCATTTCAGTCGAGGGACAGATAGGTATATCGTCCGGGCGGGGACCCTCGAGGAGAAGGACATGGCCGCTTATTTGAAAATAATTGCTTTTGTGCGGTCACTCCCCCCGTCGAAGCTGGTGACGCCCGACGGTCGGTACATCCTCGACGCCCAGGGGAACATACGCACCAAGAAGCGTTTGATAAATACCAAGACTTTGCTCGGCTGCGCGACCGGGGCGGCCGCTCTGGATTATCTAGGTAGGGATGTTCGTTTTCCCTCGTGGTCTGGGTTTCTGATCGTCACTAACCTATTTCTTTGTTTTTGCAGCGAACATGTCTACTGTCGACGAGCGGGTGAAGCAGTTACGTGCTGCCAGGAATGCCGTGGCCCCGAGGACGAGGGTGAGTCAGCTGGTCGGTCAGGAGGTCGCGACGCACGGGGGGCAAACTTCGTCCTCGTCGCCTCAAGAGAGCCAATCCCCTGTGTCTCAAGGAGTGTCGAAGAGGCAAAGGTCCGAGGAGCCTCGGGTGGTGGATCTGACGGTCGGCGCCGTCGAGGAAGGTTACGTCGTCCCTCCCTGCCACCAGCACCCGGGATATTTTCATGGTGCCCGTTCCCCCACTGTTTCCGCCGGGGAGGTGAAGGCTGTTCGCCAGGCTGATCGGGAGGCCCGTCGACGTGTCCTGGCTGAGGACTTGGCCGCGATG